GTTGTTACCATCCTAATTAATGTTATTAGGTGTACTAGTTATTTACTAATATAATAATTATTACCCATTTATCATTCAAATCGTAACTAATATTACAATTTATCTAAATTTAGGTGGAATTTAATATAGTAACAAATGAAGGATAACTATTACACTGTTAAATATTTGTTAATTACACCTAAAAAAGATATAATAATATAATTAATATATAACCAATTTGGATTTGTAACGGGCTTTTCTAAACCCATCCAATAATTAGGCCAATATTTTGTCTTGCCCATAAGGTTCATGTCACATATTTTTTCTCTTTGAATTCTTGAAAATCTATTGGTGCCATTGATATTCGAAATATATCAATCATAAAATTCTAAAGTCACAATATATATTGTTAACTTTTAAGGTTAACATACAAATTATAGTGATTTTGATTTGGTTCTTCCTAACATCTATGTTGTAGATTGACAAAAATAAGACAATCGCTGCTTTGATGAGATTGGTTTAAATATGAAGCATCGATTGGATTCTCGGCTTTGGTTTTCTACTTTAGGGGATGTATTTATTCAAAAATCTATAGATTTTTTTATTATTATTATTATTATTATTATTATTATTATTAAAATTTTGTGTATTCTATCCATATTTTTAAAATTATTTAGAAATCTCAAGGTATTTAATCCAAATTTTCAAAAATCATTTAAAATCACGAGTTATTAACACATATTTGAAAAAGTCTTAGAAATTATTATGTATTCAACAATCCATACATTTTTTGGTTTGTTTGGGTTGTTATTTGAAATAGAATATTGATTTAAATTTTTATTTAAATAGTATTTTTATTTGATAAATATATATATATATATATAACAAATGTCCATTACTACCACCTTCTTTATTAAAATTATTTAATTTTTATAATTATAATTTTTTTATGGAAAATACTAATAATTTGAAGAGTATTTTTTATGGAAACTAATGTATTTTTGGTATTTTTTTTTAAATAATTTGAATAATTTATTCATACACAAGTGTGTTTCATATATATTTGCATCAATAGTCTCAGCACCATAGTTTATTTAAATCGTATAAATCAATTTCAAAAGAAAAATGTATTCAACAATCTTATCAAGTTATGAAAATTAATGTGAATGAATAAATTATCTCTTAAGTCTTTTAAAATCCCTGTAAATCAATTAAAAAATAAAAATAAAATCAGTCAAACTAATCCGTTTACATTTTTAAGTCTTAAAAAATTCAATAGAATCCAAATTAAAAACACCCCCTCCCCCCTAACGTCGAGTTCAATATATTTTGATTTTTCAATTCAATATATTCAACAATGTATTTTGATTTTTGTAGTTATCCTTTTGTTCGCGTGTTTATTTTATGCTTGTTTTCTAAGATTGTTTTGTTTATATGTCTGTACTATTCATTTCACAATTGAATTCTTATATAATATACTTACTTAGTGCAATTGGTTCACCACACCTGAGTTCCTCTCCGTACTTTTGTAGCTGCATGAGCATCCGCGTACCACCGTATATACGAATTTGGACTGATGCCTTGCATGTTTTCTATATTGGTTGAACATTGTGTAGTATAATTACCTCTTTTGGGCTTACTAGATTTATCATTTCGGGAATAAGTATATAATATTGGCTTTTTTGCACTTTATGTTGTCCTTTTATGTGTAGTTGACACGATTGTTAGTGTAATTGATTATGTTGAGGACTCCCGTTTGCGGGATATGTAACTAATGGCTTAGTTTCCCTAACAAGTTCGAGCTTTTAGGTGAGACGGTCATTAGCTTCCGACATGGTATCAAAGCCTAGGCTAGGTCTCGAGTTCGAGTCCCGCCCGTCCCCATTTGTGGCATATGCATGTGCAAGTTTCGCAGACCCACTTGCACCTGAGGGGGCGTGTTGAGGACTCCCGTTTGCGGGATATGTAACTAATGGCTTAGTTTCCCTAACAAGTTCGAGCTTTTAGGTGAGACGGTCATTAGCTTCCGACAGATTATAGGAGACCTTAGAATTTGGTTGGATCGTTTTTGTTTGATAGGTTTTATGATAATTTTCATAGGAAATATATAAAAACAGGTTGTGAATATCATAAAAATTTTGCACTACATCATTTCTTACGGTTATGCTTCATCATAAGCATACTTTTATTTTTTTGTTTCGAACAAAAAATCGTAACAAAAACCGTTACAAAAAGATAATGTGATTGTCAGAAAACATTTGCACCGCATTATTTGTTACAGCTATATTTTGTTACAAGAACAATTCTATTTTCTGTCACATAAAAAAAAAAAAATGTAACAAAAAGTCTCCCCACACGCGTTGACCACTAATTTTTTGTTACAAGAGTTGTTACAACATATATTTTTTGTTACTTGAGTAAACTTACCAGCAAAAATCCGTAACAAAATCGTCGCAAATAAGGACTTTATCCGGGAAGCCAGGTTTGACATTCCCACTTATACTAAAGTTGGATTTAATTCATATCTTGAGGAAAAATGTTTATTGATTTGGGAAACTAGTTTGCAATGTTTTTGCCCTAAACATGTTTGAGAGTTCTACACTAATTTATCCGGAAAACTATTAGACCCATCATCCCCCTGGTATCACAATGTTTATATTAGAGCCGACAAAAACTGACCCTACACGACAATTCGACACGACAACCCGACACGATCCGACACAAAATAATTAGGTTTGGGTCAAATAGTATAACCCGATTATGTATACGGGTTGACACGAACCTCACACGATGGGTCGGGTTAGGGTTGAGGCTTTCAACTCGAACCCGACACGACAACCCGATTATAATATATTAATATTGATTAATATTTTTATTATATATGTAAAATAATCATAATTTAATAATTTTTTCATAAATTAATTTAAACTAAATTCAATATTAAATAATTCAATCTAATTTACGCTCAAATCAATAAAAACTAACTTAACACGACAGCATAACATAAAATTATTTAATTTGAATCAAGAAATTCGACTTAATTATGTATACGGGTCAACACGAGTCAACCCGAACTCGACACGATAATAAACGGGTCAACACGAACACGACACGATCATCAACGGGTCGGGTTAGGGTTGAATAATTTAATCCGTTTAAAACATTCAACCCGACACGAATGGACCAATTGCCAGCTCTAGTTTATATGATAGGAAAACTACTATAACTCAGTCTATTTGTAACCAGCTGAATGTTGCAACTCCCACCTAACGACGATGACTACATGCCGTTGCATAGATTTTGTGCCCTGATTGTGTTTCCCGCTACTAATGCTTCATCAACAAGTACAAAGTTCGATTAGTTTATTTTTGCAATTGACAAGCATTTGGAATTCTTAAACTTTGGGTACATTGCGATGAAGAAAATATTAGATTTGTGCATGGATCCAAGGCAGATGCTACACGGTCACTGATAACAATGTTTTTAGTTTTAATGGGATCGGATCACTCTAGAAGCCATTAAAGAGAAAATTGGCGTTCGATTCTTCCATGCGCATGCCCGGTAAAGTTTTCAGAGGCTTTGCAATGATTTCCTTAAAGAGGGGCCGATGGCGATGGATAATTCATTAATTTTGGCCAAATCTGTTTGTGTCATGTAATTTGTGAGCTGACCTCCATGGATGCTACCTTGATTGTCAACAAATGGAAGTCACCACCCATCACATTTATTTTCTTCACTTAGATTCAAAGTGCATTTGATTCTAACTAATTAAAATGATACATGGAATCAAAGTTGTTATTCATAGGCAATGAGTGAAGTGAATAGGAGTTGTGGGAACGTCGTTGTATGCAAAAATAACTAAGTATAAGCGAGTGTGTTGATTCCTAAAACAAAGGATATAAGCGATGTGTATAAATATCGGTGCTATATTAGTTCAAAATTGAATTACATTATTTATATTAAGCACAAATAATTCGATTACAAGACAAATTTATGCGAGCCCTTTTCTTAGTACAAACACCAACCTTAAAATACTATAATATTGGCCTAATACATTGGGTTTGTTTACTGAATAACATACCATCATCTATAAATATTTAAAAAATAATAATAATATATTTATGCATATTAACACAATATATATATATATTTTTTATCCATTTAAAAAATAAAAAATTCAATCCAAAATATTTTTTATATTAAAAAATATTCCGTATCTAAAAAAAAAAAAAAAAAAAAGTCATCTAAAAACACAGCAACAAACCCATTGTTTCTGAAACCAACATATCTTAGCGATGGACAAGCTCTTCTTGCATCTTCCATAAGCTAGCATATATATGATATATCAGTACATATAGCATAGTTACACAACACATTTATTTCAACTACCCTCCTTTCTTTGCCGCATGTTCTTCTTCTTCTCCTTTCTCTTTGCTTTGACGGAATCGCCCCGCCCGTTGAAAATTCGGTGAGCGGAATGGAAGGTACTTTTTATTTTTTTTCTTAATAAATTTAAAAAAATATATAAAATTTTTGGTATTAACGGTATAACCGATATTGAACGAAAAATTCAGTATACCAAATGTTTCGGTACGATATCGGTACATGTTTCTACCATATCGATATGTTCAGTCTTCGGTACGGTACAGTATATCATCCCTAAATGAAAAAAGTTTCTAGGAGTACGCGTAAGTGAAGATAAAAACGCATTAGAAAAACACGTGCTAACCTATGGGACGTAGTGAATATATATATATAAATAATAATTATAATTTATAAAAAAAGTATCATTTAAAATTATTATAATATATATTTAATTATTTTTATCTAATACATTTAAATAAAAACTTTACTTTCACACATCAGTCAACATCATAATTTCAAACCCAAAATAATTCATAAGAACTATTCTCCAAAAAATTTCAAAACTACAAACCTCTTCCAAAACATAACAAAAGTTTGGACTTGTGCCCCAATAGGAATGGCCTACTAGTTTGTGATGAACTCGTGACATGGGACTATGATTTCAATCCCTTCATTTTTCATACATAATATAAAACACACATTTTACCCCACTAGTAACATAATCCAAAACAAAGATTTATAAACACAACAATTTATCGACAATACTCTCCCAAAACTAGTCAGCTAAATTGTACCATATATAAATTGTCGAATTCAATAATATAAGGGTACAATCGGGCGCATGAATAGAAGAATACTAAAACCGCGAATACCTTCTTTGTTGTCTGGCTTCATTTTCATTCATCCAGTCAGACAGACGCATCAAGCCCTTATAGCCCAAGTATGCCGATGCAATTGTTACGACACAAATCAAAAGAACGATAAGGATGCGTTGAATCACAGCAACAATTTTCTGCACTCAAATAAGTTTTTGTTTCATTTATTGTAAGGAAAGCATTCTTGTGCTGCTGCATATTTGGCTTGAGTAAAATAGCCATACCTGCACTTGGGAGGATCTCCCCTCTTCTTGGACCCTTTGTTTTCGCCTTCTTCGCCTCAACACATTAGCTGCTTTATCGGGCTCCTTTTCCTGCCATATAATGTCAGAGGCAGCATAGCATTCAATGAAATGTTCATAAAATAAACTCTATTAGAATTGACTTAAAACAGCTTTCAGCCTAAGAAGAAACTATCAATATTATCACTTTAAGAAATTTATTTTTTTTTAATGTGAATAGTTAGATAATCAGACACCCATGAGTAACTAAATAGTTAAACAAGAATATATGTCAAATGTAAAAAATAAAAATAAAAATAATACTCTACATTTCAATATATTTGCTATTATTTTTAATTTAGGATATCCCAAAATATAAGCAACTTTTCTTAGTTTATACTCACTTTTTCTCGTTTCCTCTTATAAATACAATTTATAAAATCATTTTAAATGAAAAGGGAAAAACAGTCAAAAAACTAATAAAAATTATACCGCGGCTCATACTAAAGCTAGCCATCTTAATGGGATAGAGAGAGTAGTATATCCGATAGAGAGCATGATCAAAAAGATCATGAAGTTAGGATTAAAGAGAAACTGGAGTCTACGTTGTTGCTTTAGGTTTGTTGTTTGCAGGTTTAAACTTTATTTATTTGGTTTTTTATTAAGATATTATAGTTTGAGTTGATAGTTTGAGTTGAAATTGCCCTGGGCTATGTTATTTCTTGCAAGTTAGGTTTAGTAGAAGTATTAAAAAAAAACTACCTAGGGTTTGTAGAAGATAATTCTTGAACTTTGAAATAAAGGAGCTGCTGGGTTTTGGACAAAAGGTTGATGCAAGATCAATCAAAGAGCGACTAGATAAACTTGAGGTTGATCAAGCCGAGATGAAGGAGAATATGAAGGCTATTAACATCCAACTAGCATAAATCTTGGCGACTCTTGCCGAATTCTCGAAGGTTATTTTGAAACCCTCAAGATCACAGCAATCGGCAACAGGTCACTGCATGGAGGACAGCATGACAAAAGAGGCTGACATGCTGTTTCTGCCGAAGATATGGCCTATGCAACCGGTAACCAACCCTAGATAACCGATGAGTCTTGTGAAACTTCTGTCCTTTTTGACGGTTCAGATCCAATAGGCTGGTTAGCTCACATCAATCAACAATTAAAAATTCATAACACTAGTCCAAAGATGAAGGTGTCCATGATTGTGATGGCCATGGAAGAAGCTGCATTGTATTGGTCTAACGCAGATTCGATACGCGTTTGAAACGCAGTCCTTTTGAACAATTGGGAGGCATTAAACATGATGGATCGGGGATGACTACGTGACTCTATTTGTTCAATTAGCGGTTTGACAAATGCACACTGCACTATCAGGGCTACTTCATGAAAGGTCTGAAGGATACGATTCTTGAAAGTCAAGGCTAACATGGGATGAGTTTTTGCAAGCATTGCTGACGAGATTTGATACGCGTTTCAAACGCAGTCCTTTTGAACAATTGGCAGGCATTAAATATGATGGATCGGGGATGACTACGTGACTCTGTTTGTTCAATTGGCGGTTTGACAAATGCACACTGCACTATCAGGGCTACTTCATGAAAGGTCTGAAGGATACGATTCAAAATTCGCTCCACCTTCTTCACTCCAGAAACTTAGAGACAGCCATGGAGTTGTCTATAAGATAATCTCTAGGTGCAGACTAACAAACACCCATATCAAAATTTAAGCAGCCTGACACCACACCAAAGCTCCATTTCCTAACAGAGGTCAACCACAAAAGATCTATAAGAAATTCTTCCAAACCTTCCGATCATCCTTATGTGGCTCAATTGGAGGCAATTGGTGAGCCAACATACCGAGCTCAATTTACCGCATCTCACCATTGGCTGAATTGCGAGTCAAGACAATGTTTTCACCGCAAGAAACCTTACACCCCAAGACATGAATGACCTTTCAAACAATTGCGAGTCATGGTAGGACAAGAAGGCAAAGAGGTCTTAGACCTTCAACTGTTCGAATATTATGTAACTACTGAGCAGATTGGACAAAAGAACAAGCAAATGCATTGATAAAAGAAGAGACCTGAGTGTTTTTTCTCTATAGAGGGCTTCTCGAGCCCACGGACTTTGTGGTTGCATGGAGTTGCACAAGAAAGTAAGGTAACAATATTAATTGATAGTGGCACTAGTCACAATTTTATTTCTTCCTTAGAATCCAATCTACGATTACCACTCGATCGTACAAAAAATTTTGTAGTTTAGTAGGGGATAGACAAAGACGGGAATCCAAAGGGTTATGCCGGGATGCAACAATCGTATTATCGGGCTGCGAGGTAATGACCGATTGTTTTGTGTTTCCCATCAACATGTAGATATTATTTTTAGTATAACTTGGTTAGCCACGTTGGACGACGTCCGAACAAATTGGGAAGCTCTGACTATGTCCTTTAAATGAAAAGACAACCAAGTAGTGCTGATGTGTGACCAAACCCTCTGTCATAATCCAATCACCCGAAAGACGTTGGGTCAAGCCCGTGAGAAAGGAGAACAAAAGAAAGATTGAATTTTGCTTAAGTAGGCAAGACAATCAATGATGAAACGACTTGGCTAAGCGTACCTCATTGCCAGTTCTCATTCTTCGACCTTGGGGATAGGGGTTCAATTCGAAGAGAGATGAAATTGATAGAGAGTAGGATCAAAAAGAGCTTGAAGTTAAGATTCCTCGGCCATTGCTTGTATATCGACGACAAAGATGAGCTCAGACTTTCTGTTCATAAGTTTATCTTTATTCATTTACTTTTCTATTAAATTATTATATTTTTAGGTAGACTTACCCTTTAGTTATTAGGTAGACTTATTTAATTTTTAGTAAGCTTTGGTAGAAGTATATAAAGAGTCTACCTAGGGTACGGACAAGATTATTCATGGTCTTGGAAATAATAAAGCGTGGTGTGTTAAAATTAACTCTCATTCACACAAACAAGAAAGTAGAACACAAAGGATTACGGCCGATAAGGGTTATCGACCTACGTCCACAAGGGGTAACCAAGAATCTTTTCTTATTACTGCAATATGAGGCGACACAAATTTTACAAGTACAAGAGGGGTATTTAAAGACTAAATTTAGGGTTAATCACAATTGGGCCCGAACTCCTAAACCCATTAGGGTTAACTACCTTAAAGAAGCCTACATTTAACAATCTCCTACTTTGAGGCTTCGAAACATCTACGCTCCATTGTACTTCTGTAAAATCCTCAGCTTCACTTGATTGCTCCGGTCTTCTCATCATTTCTCATGAAGACCATCTGAAGTCATGCATAACTTCAGCTTGTCCAGCGTCCAATTTTTGTGAACATATCTGCTGGATTCATAGCGACTGAGATGTTTTTCAACTTCGTCGTTCCTTCACTTATCAATCCTATGATAAAGTGAGATCTCATCCCAATATGCTTCGTTCTTCCATGATAGACCGGGTTTTTGACAAATTTGAATGTAATTCTATTGTCACATTGTAATGAATAATCTGTCTGCCTTTTATCCAACTCCAGGAGAAAGTTCTTTAGCCAAACTAACTCTTTGATAGCCTCAACGACTGCCATATACTCAGCTTCTGTCGTCGAAAGCATCACACTTTTATGAAGTTTAGATCTAGCTGACTGCAGTTCCTCCCACTGCGAAGATGGACCATGTAGTGCTCTTAAGCATCTCTTTGCATCCAGCCAAATCTACATCAGAATACCCTCTGAGAATTGCATCTTTGCCTCTAAAACATAACTTCATCTTGGAAGTACCTTTCAAATACCTTAGTATCCACTTGACGGCTTCCCAATGTTCTCTCTCCGGATTTGACATGTAGCGACTAACAACCCCGACTGCATGAGCAATGTCTGGTCTCGTGCACACCATCCATACATGAGGCTACCAACTCCAAATGCACAAGGAACTTTAGCCATATCTGTCTATTCTCGGAGACTGATCTTTTGTAAGCTTGAAGTAGCTTCCGAAAGGTGTGTTTCTCGGCTTAGTTTTCTCACTATTCATGTTGAACTTCTCTAACACTTTCCCGATATACTTTTCCTAAGATAGTGTCAGAGTGTCATCCTTATTTCTGATTATACTTATCCTTTGGCTGAACCTAAGTCTTTCATCTCGAATGCCTCATACATCTGTTGCTTTAACTTATTGATTTCTCTCATGTCTGCACCGGCTATCAATATATCATCCACGTAGAGAAGTAGAATGATGTAGAGACCCTTAAACTTCTTCACATAGCAGCAATGGTCCATTTCACATCTCTTGCACCCCCTTCTCATCATGAAGTTGTCGAACTTCATGTTCCATTGCCTGGAGGCTTGGTTTTAGACCATGTAAGCTTTTCTTCAGCTTGCAAACCCAATTCTCCTTGCCAGCAACCTGAAACCCTTCAGGTTGTACCATGCAGATATTCTCATCGAGATCACCATGGAGAAATGTTGTATTAACATCTAATTGCTCTAGATGTAAGCCCTCTTGCAACTACAATACTGAGAACCAATCTAATAGTGATTCTTACTACTTGAGAGAAGATTTCAGTGTAGTCTACACCCTATTCTGCTAAAATCCTTCAACTACTAAGCGAGCTTTGTACCTTTTCGACCCATCTGGTTCATCTTTGTACCTTTTCGACCCGTGTTCAGCACAATACTCAGTGAACTTTGTGCTGATGTATTCACCTCCATTATTCGATTTCAACCACTTCACCTTCAGGTTAGTTTCTAATTCACCAACAGTCTTCCATTAAGCAATGAAAACTTCAAACTTGTTTTTAAGAAAATAGACCCATACCTTTAGTGTTGAATCATCGATGAACGTTACATAGTAATTTGATCCGCCAAAGGAAGATACTGGTGTTGGTCCATAGACATCAGAGTAATCCAATTCCAACTTCTGAGCTTTCAGTGTCTGCGCCGTCTTTGCAAAAGAGACTTTCTTCTTCTTGCCAAGCACACAATGCTCACAAAACTCGGAATCCACCCTCTTTAGATCTGGAAGCTTTCCTCTTGCGACAAGCATCTTCATTCCTTTTGTGCTAATGTGGGCAAGTCGTTGTGGCCACATAACAGACGGACTTTGCTTGTTGGTTACTGCATTCGCTTCATTTTCAGAGACATCAGCCATGTATAGAGTACCCCTCTTCTTGCCTCTGGCAATTACAAGATTGCCTTTGACGACTCTCCATTGCCCTCCTCCAAATTTGGCCTTGTATCCCTGATCATCCAATTGCCCAATGGAGAGCATTTTCTTAAAACTAGGGATTACCCTAACGTCCTTCAACGTCCAGATATTTTCCGAAAGAGTCTTTAGATCTATATCACCATCCCTGTGATGTCAAAAGAATCGTTATTAGCCAAACGAACTTTACCAAAGTTACCTGTCCATAGATTATTCATCATCTTCGTGCTAAAAGTAGTATGGAATGATGCACCATAATCCATAATCCACGACTCAGTTGAATTCTCAACACAGCAAATGAGTGCATCGTCTGAGCTGTCTGTAGTGGCATTCACCTACTTTTGCTCTAGCGGTTTTGAGCACTGATTTCTAAAATGCCCATACTTTTTGCAATTCCAGCATTGAATGTCCTTCCTTAGCTTTGACTGACCCCTCCTTTTGGAATTTGATTGTCCTATGTCATTTTCCTTTTCTTTCTTTCTGCCTCTTTTTTCCGTAACAAGAGCAAAGCCTGAACTTCATCATCAAACTTAATATCCGCCGATAACAACCGGGATTGTATAGTATTGAATTCATTTATATGCGAAGTAACAAACGCACCTTTTTTTATTCTCATATTAACCAACTGTCTTATCATAAATACCTTCTTGGAAGCAGATGGCTTCTCGTACATGTTTGTCAACGTCTTCGTCAACCCATATACGGTAGTCTCTTTCAGAATGTTGAGTCCAACGTTTTTTGCTAGCGTAGATCTGATAGCAAACAGGGCTTTCTTGTTAAGGATTATCCATTCATCGTCGCTCATCTTCTTGGGACAATCCTTAACAAATCCAAATCTTTTTGGCAAAGCAAATCCTTGATTTGCACCTTCTACCAACCGAAATCTTTTCCGTCAAACTTATCAATTTTTGTTTTTTCGTCCTCATACATGATGTAATCATGCAAATACGAATTTTGCAATTTGTGGGATGCGTCGGATCAGATCTACAGAATGTTGTTGGCGATCAGGCTGCCGAGCAGACTGCGCGGGTTTGACGGCTGACGGATTTGACGCGCTGACAGGTCTGACGCTTACGGGTCTGACGCATCTAACGAGTTCTGACGCTTGCTTTTTGTTGTCTGTTGCTCTGTTCTACTGTTCTTGAACAAGTGTGACTCGTGAAAAACCTGACTCTAATACCACTTGTTAGGATTAACTCTCACACGGACAAACAAGAAAGTAGAACACAAAGGATTACGTGGTTCGGTCAATACGGGGGCAACCAAGAATCTTTTTTTATTACTACAATATGAGGCGGCACAGAATTTACAAGTACACTAGGGGTATTTAAAGATTAAGTATGGATTAATCACAATTGGGCCCCAACTCCTAGCCCATTAGGGTTAACTACCCTAAAGAAGCCTACACTTTAACATGGTGGCTTTTAGGCAAACAGTTGACTCTGTTTGATTGTTATTTGGGCAAAGGGTTAATATTGCTTGATTTTTTTATTGCTTTTATCTTATTCTAACAATATTCCTGGTAAACATAACTTTGGTTGCAATATGCATATTGGACAATCAAAAGTTAGGGTTCAAGATGAAGCGGTGGTTGGGGAGCCGAACGAGTTGAATATGGAATGATAAAAGTAGACTCTAACCACAATAAACATATAGTGGAATAGATATGCTAGCGATGTGAACTTTTAATACACCACTAATTTCAGGCATTTTCCACTTGTTTTTAAAACCGATAGAGATACTTGCATACTCGTGAAGCTCTTTGTATATATAGTCCCCCTTTGCATATGCCTTAGTTTGCACCCTCTGGTGTCTTGATTAATTTAATCTAATGAGAAAAAACGAATATCTAAAGCTATAGTTAAAATGTAATGTTGTACCTCTTTGGGTCTGGATTGACGCAAATGTAACTGTGCATCAGAGGCCTTGACTCTGCTCTTGCATTCACTGTCACAAGGAAGAAGTTCTGCTCCATATCGATTTTTAGGTATGTCTTTAGGGTCAGTACCCATACTACGATATGCAGCTTGTACTGCCTCGCATAGCCACTCCTTTTTCAAGGTCAGACATGCACAACGAACTGTTACCTGGATTTTCATAAAGCAATATCATATATCATTTCCTTGTAAAAAAATTTGGCAATGGAAGAATATCCATAGATAGTATGCCATGTGGAAAAATAAAGTTAGACCCTTCAATTATAAAACAGAATATTATATTATAGGCATTTGCGCGTACAAAGATCAAACATTTACAATCAGATGAAGTTTCAACATCTCCTTCCTGCAATCTTGTATTGTAGACAAGTATTGTAACACCCCGGTTGGCTCAAACTGAAGTGTCACCTCCACGCCACAACAGAAAACTCATTCATCAACCAACAAGTCTTACGTTGTGGCGCTAAGGCTAAAATAACCATTATAAGCAACTAATTAGAGATTTATAATCTAAAGTGCACCGGCTTATCTTTTAAATAAATAAAGTTCAATTCAAAACCATAAGTTGAGAATAATTCAAAAGGCATTAATTCCTAAACATTAATAATAAATTTCAAAAGCATTCTAGAGGATATGATAGTTTTAATTCCCCCGATGGATCATATGACGTGGATGCATCATTTAAGTATAACAAAAACACTATCACCTATAAAAAAGTTTGTAGAAAGAAGGTCAACACACGGTTGAGTAATCGCAATTAGCCAAAGATATATTAATACGGTACAAGTCATGATTCACGTGTAAATGCCACAAAATCATTTGAATAAGATAATTCAAATAAAATGTCATATATCACATAAGGATAACTCATACACAAGTCTTTTAGTGCATCCCTTATATCTCCTTTTTATTTTCAAATAATGGTGATAAACACATCACGAAGAAAGCTCCACTAGGCCTTAATTAGGGCCGGCTCGACCCGGTTTTCCTACTTTATTACTTTGTATGACATGTCACATAATTACACATAACAAGCATAGGGTTACAACCCTCAAGAAAAGCTCCACAATATATACATAAGGATTTGAAGCCCAAAGTACACGTAAGTCAATTTATTTATTACTTTGCGAGAGGCGCTAAACGGTCCACAACCATCTAGTCTTCAATATAACATACCAAGAGGGGATTGTGCGCAATTTTTCCCTCCATCACGGATGACGGCTTAAAGACCTTTTCATCGTGAATAATGGGCACCTCGGAATCACCCAAAAGGGAACCCGCCATCCCCATCCCTCGACCTAGCCCATTCGGGTTCTAATTCGATGTTAACTAGTTATCCTAAAATACCAGTATGCCCTCACGTATTTGTAAGGCACAGTGGTGGAAGGCTATGCATTATCATCCAAACAATCAACGAGTTGATCGTACTCAACGGGTAATTTCAATTACCAATTTGACCCAATACTCAACATGCTATTAGGCGAATTTAAAAGGAAGCTTTAAACTCAAACCGTTTCAATTGTCAACATTTAACCAAGCAAAAGTAGGATATTAAAACCCAACAAGTTCGGTGTAATCTCACTTTATTTCACCAAATAAACATTTGAATAATATGTCCATCCCAATAGGTATGATCTAACTTAAAAAATCATAATATTTAAACATAATCATAAATATTTTCCCAGAAGCAAAACTAGGGTTTCAAACTCATTCCACAATTCCACTATTTTCAACTTAAAATACTTTAATAATCTTCACATAAGCTCTAGGGAAATTATAATCAACTTTCTAGAAGAAATTAGCAAAACCTAACATTTTAGGGCAAATTCATTTGAAAATCATTCTGAAAAATATCAACAAAAGGGATCTAGGGATTAGAAAATATCATTTATCTAAAATTAATCCCACTTACCCCAAGAGAAAAGACTAAAATGAAGAGTTTTGGAGAAGAAAACTTCCAAGGAAAAAGAGGTGTTGGGCCAGAGGCTGATCGCTGCTTGCTGCTTTACCTCTCTTATTTTTTTTCTTTTAAGAAACATAATAGACTTGGGCCTAAACCTATTTTTTCAATTCCCTTCGGCCCAAAATGGTCCAAACACTCTAATCACTTTTAATTCAATCTAATTACCTCATTTCTTATACCAAAAGCCCAAAATAAAAATTGACAGACTCCAGTATCGGATTCCGACAAGTTCCAGCGAACTTCCGGCGATTATTTTACAGGGTATTACAAGTATGATATACAATATACACAACCGTGTTACCTTCTTAGAGCACTCCTCAGGTGACGGACAGGAGCCGGGATGACATATCTCTGGGCATAAATGTGTGCAATTTGGTAATTTCCTGCATATCCAAATGATTCTTCAGAGATGAATTTTAAAGATTTCAATATACCATACTTCCTTCATACTACAGAAACAAGACGACTAAATGTGAATTAAGTGAAAACCCAGGCAGGGGGAAATACAGTAAGAGCATGCACAAATTATAAAGCAGCCAATCGTAGCTACAGAAGGAAGCAAATTTTCGGCATACAGACACATGCACGTATATTTTATCCATATGCAGAAGGATGCAACACTAATTAACAAGAAGTAAGCCAAGTCATTCCTTTTGAACAAACCTATGATGACTTTCATTTTTCTAATAGATCTTTTATTTGTTGTTCACATAGAAGTGCTACGTGCAGCCACTAGATTAGCATTTGATCTGGTAGTGAAAGAGAACCTAGAAATATTAAAGTTAAGGCAGCCCAACAAAAAATCCAATTTAATTTTCTTTCCTGAAATTTTATTTTTCTTAATACCAAAAAATAAAACATTGGACAATAAATACCATCATTTGTTAGATTCAAGAGAAGGAAAGACAAGCATACGCTTGGTTGCAGACAATTTACAAGTAAATCCACACAATAGAGAAAACAAGCTATTCACATGGCAAGCCTATTCTCGACACTTGTCAAAACCATGATGCAGTCTTTGTTTTTCCAAATCATTTTAAGTTCCAATGAAGTTACTTAAAACATGCTCATTAAATTACCTATGGCAAGGACCCTTGCATGAGCGAACTGCCATCTGCTCTGTCTCTGACAAGCACTTGAAATATTTACACTCAAAAACATGCACCATCGACCCACAATGGCATGAACGCTTAATTAGTGCCTTGCAAGGGGGGCATTCGCCGGGATGACATCGCATGGGGCAAGGATGGGGGCACGCAGGATCTCTCTCCTAAAAGAAAGGTAACCAACAAGTTTTGTTTGTTGAGGAATTGTCTTTACTTCTCAATAATGTAGTTATAGAGTTCACATTGTGGACTTAAAAGCAAATTATTTACAAGGGAATTAAACATAAGAATATACAATAAATACGAATAATAACACAAAAGCTCAGTTAGTATATGGCACTTAAAACTCAAAGCGGATGTGAAAGGGGCCATACGAAGTATAAGATCAAAAAGAATCGTTGAGTCACAATTAATTTTTACCTTTTGACAAGGAAGATTGCATTCTTCGCAAGACTCCCCTATTTTGTCCGAAGGATGAATTTTCAGTGCATGGCACACATAAGTACAATAGTGATTCCCGCATGGGAGGGGATTCCCGCACAAGTTATCACACGAAAATTCTGTTGCCTTTGAGCAGACCATCTTAAAGAGGAAAAAAATCAAGCAATGAGGATATCCCAATAAATCATGAAGAATAAAAGGAAAGCCAAGATAGTACTGTTGGTTTTGCACCCTAAAAGAGAGTGCAAAAAATGTAAAAAGACGTTAGAAAACCTAATAGAGTGTTAGGAAACTAACCGTCCTCTCTTCTCCTATGTGGTTGCCAACACATTGCCTCACCACAGGTTCAGAGCAAGGGGGACATGATGAACCAGGAATCACTTCACTCAGTTGGTTAGACTTCTTCTTTTTGGGTTTTAAAGTAAATTCAGGGCGTGGAGGTGGTTTAGGTCCATGGCACCTACATAACACATTGAAAATAATAGAACTGATGAGGTGCTTGACCTGAATTGTTATAGGAACCACAGTTATTTAAGGCAAACCTTAATTTGCATTTGTGATTGCATGGAAATTCTTTGTCACAAATCTGGCGACATGGGGGACAAGCACCATAATGGCACCGGTGCGGCTGGAAATATGTAGACATGAGAAATTGTCAAAAGTAGAATATGTTCATGATTTAACAAGGCCAATCAATAAAGATCTAAAAGCATTTGCCATTATATACTACTTAAAGCTCATTGAAAGTCCGACAACGTAGCCTGAAGTATCCTTAAGGAATTGAGTACACATAAAACAAACAAAAATTCAACCTTGTAATTTGAGCTATGCCGGCAGAGAGGAGCTACAGGACATGGTTTTCGACACTTTGGAGGCATCTGTTTGGTTTCTGTGCCACAAGGAACCTGATCAAAATCGAATCAAATAGCACAAATTTTAAATGAATGCAGATAAAACATTCCCTATAACAGAGAACAAGAAAAAGAAAACACTTATGACTACTTGGACTGTTGGATTTATATCTCTGTTTATAGTTTAGATAGACTTGATAGAGTTAGGATTATTATGATTAAGTATTAAACTTTGTTTGTTAGATAGATTATCTACCACTGCCTATGAATATGTGTATTCTTCTTTCTTCTTCTCTTGGAATGAAATAAAATAAACTTCCCCGAATTTTCTACATGGTATTAGAGTCGGTTAGAGTTTAACCTTTTTAAGACTTAGCATCTCTGGCCACTACCTAAAACCCTGATTTAATCTCTTGTACCACTTTGAGTCACTTTTCATCCAACACCATAATCCAACCTTTGTCTGCCGGCACTTCGAACCAGATCATTGTCTTCTGCCGCATGCGCCACCACTAAAAGTCGATGATTTCTTGGTTCCGACCAATTTTCAGCCTTTGTATGGCGCCGTACATTGACATGTGCCACACCGGCGTATTCCCCACCTCGAGACACATCAAACGACGTCACTATCCGCCTTCACCACCGGGCGTGTCACATACTTGCCGTCACTACCACTATCATGTTCCGCCACCACTATTACTGGATCTTTTGTTGGCCATTACATCCATTGCTTCCTATGGCAGACTCCTTTAAGTCAATTGATACTAGACACCTCCGTATGCAATGTACCTATTGTTGCAAGACAAGTCATACTCAAGGGCGTTGCTATAGCATTCATGGACATCTTCCTTATACGGGAAATAAAGTTGCTGCTGACTCCATTACCATAAGTCATGCCAATTATGATGCATTCTTCAGTTTCAGGTATCTCGGCAGTCATCCTCCACTAGTCTCTCAATCTACATTGGGTTTATGGCCATTACATCCATTGCTTCCTATGGCAGACTCCTTTAAGTCAATTGATACTAGACACCTCCGTATGCAATGTACCTATTGTTGCAAGACAAGTCATACTCAAGGGCGTTGCTATAGCATTCATGGACATCTTCCTTATACGGGAAATAAAGTTGCTGCTGACTCCATTACCATAAGTCATGCCAATTATGATGCATTCTTCAGTTTCAGGTATCTCGGCAGTCATCCTCCACTAGTCTCTCAATCTACATTGGGTTTATGGATCATTCTTTATTCTTCAGATTCCATCCATCAAACTCACTAAACTATATTACTCTTGCTAATAGTGATAAAGCATATCCTTAAATTGTTGGTAGGGCATGTCCGTTACCTAATTTACCTTTAGAGATTGTCCTTTATGTCCTCAAAGTCCATTTAACTTTATATTTGTTAGTCGACCTAGTAAATATTTAGATTGTTCTATCTTAGTAACTAGTAGTTTCCTTGTTATTCAAGATTGGTGCATAAGATGGATGATTTGGTACCGAACATAAGTCTCAAAGGCTACATTACCTAAATGAATCTCCTTATCTATCTTCTACCCTTGCTACTGCTTCTATCAAGTCATAAATTATTCTACCAAGGCTAGCTCATCTCAATTTGTCCAAAATAAAGCGTTTATTTCCTAGTTTTTTATTGTTGTCTTCTTTACCATGTAAGTCGTGTGAGCTTGTAAATAAGTCTTGTACTACTTTTCCAATACGCATCAATAATCGAGCATTTGAACCGTTTGCATTAAGGTTATTTAGATATTTATGGTCCCTGTCATACTATTTTGACTTTATAGTTTTCAATATTTTGTTACTTCTATTGATGACTTCTCTCAATTTACTTGGGTTTATTTAATTGGAAATCAATTTGAATTACATATTATATTCAAAAATTTATGTGCTGAAATTCGTATACAATTTCATACCCCTATTAAGGTTTTAAGGAGTGATAATGTTAGGAATATTTTTCCCAATTATTTAGTGATTTTGTATCTTCACAAAGTTCATCGGTCATCTTGTCCTTCTACCCTCAATAAAATAGGGTGGTTGAGCATTCTCTTTCATTATAACGCCCCATTTCAGTTTTGGGTTGATGCTATATTTACCATATGTTCCTTATTACTCCCTACGTCCCACATATTTTGGGCACGTTAATGTAGATAAGAGAATTTAGGTAAAATATGATTAGTAAGTAATTAAGAAGTGTATTAGTAAAAATAATTATTGTATGATAAAAAATAATTATAGATTAAGATTAAGATGACTAAATAATTTAACTAAACTTAAGAAAATTATAAATTATGATATTTAAAATATGATTAAAGTGTATAATCATTTTTCCAAAAAAAGAAAAGGACAAATTATGTGAACTAACAAAAATATAAAATGGGGACAAATTTGTGGGACTGAGGGGGTAATTGTCTTCCTTCTACTACCCTAGATTATAAGATACATATTACCTCTTTTCAGCCTAATATATCCTTATATCATGTACCTCTTCATATGCTTAGTTGTACGTGTTTTGTTCATGACTATTTTCCTAGTTTGGACAAATTGCATCCTCTATCAATCAAATGTGTCTTCCTTTGGGTACTTTTGGGTTCAAAAAAGTTGTCGATGTTATTCATCTTTCACCCGTCGCTATTATTTTAGTGCAGATGTCACATTCTTTGAGTCGTTGCCATATTTGATATTTCATAGTGTCACCTTCCCTCTCACATCCATCCTCATTACCAATAGCTCCCGTTACAATAAGTTTCCCATCTAAGCCTCCACTCTAGGTTTATAGTCGGCATCCATGGCAGCATTAAGACATGCTTGCCTTACCAACGTCTACACCTAGTAATGACTTAGGATGTGGATTCTCTTAGATCCAAACACAAAGTTGCTTCCTGGACGGGGAAACCCTTGACTGATAAGGCTAGTTGGAAAGTTCAATTATCTCACTATCACCACAGATAGATCATTTTCCTTAAAAGTACGGTGATTCAGTTCTTTAAGTCTCCATGTGTGCATTTTGCGGTATATTAAATGGTCTCCCAAGAAAGGTTTACTTTTTAAAATTACGGTCACTCTGAAATTGTTGAATATTCAAATGTTGATTGGGTAGGGTCTCCTGGCGATAAGCATTTCTATCTTTGGTTATTGTGTGAGTTGGAGGTAATTTGATATCTTGTAAAAGTAATAAACAAGATGTGGTTGTGTGTTCTAATACGTACGCTAAATATCATCTTATGGCCTTAGAGACATGTGATCTTCTTTGGGTTAAACAATTACTTTGAGAACTCAAGTTCTATTAAATGACAAAGATGAAGTTAGGGTGTGATAACTAGACAGCACTGCATGTTGCATCAAACCCAATATTTAATGAACGAAAACTTTTATATCTATAGATACTAAATATATCTTCAGGTTATCAACTTGCAACCATATTGACAAAAACCCTAAGAAGTCCGAGATTAGAGTTCATCTGCAACAAGCTTGAATCGTATAACGTGTACGCTCCAGCATGAAGAAGAGTGTTAGGCTTATATCTATATTTATATTTTAGCTAAACTTGATATAGTTGAGATTATTATGATTAGATATTAGATTTCGTTTTTTAGATAAATTATCTACAATACGTATATATGTATGCATTTCTTTCTTTTTCGCTTGGAATGAAATAAAATAAACTTCCCCCATACTTTCTACATGGAGAAAATGTCTCGCGCACAAAGCACCAAATTGGCAGCATGTTTGTTTCTCAAATGCCCATTAGCTAGTCTGCCTCCAAAGCATGGATAGAGTGGTACATTTGATACCAAATAACTAGCTAGGGGAAATTTTGTTTTGTTCACAACTCATACATAACAAATTTTGATACTAGTTGGAATTTTTCATTTTTCAGCTGCTGATCCTTTTGTTAGGTTTAAGACTCTACCCACTCTAACTCTTGGCCACTTGGGCCACTTATTTGGCAGAAAAATGCCCCTCATCGAATGAACACTTGCATTTCGAAAGTGGTCCAAGGAGATATACTTGTAAGGGAGTTTTTTTACTAGAGGATCCCAGGTTTCTGGGGAACTTTTGCCTCTTTGCCAGAACCAAAGTCATTTTTTAGATTGTGGAAAATCATTTGTTTCTGCATATCATCATACTCGTGCATTTTGCTTCAAGTGGCAGGCCCTAGCTAACATGACTATCAATTCTTAAATATGGAATAGATTCATTAAAGCCATCTTATGGGAGATTTGGAATACAGTTTCTTCAATGACACCCTAAAAATTCTCCTACAATATGTAATTCCCTGTAAAATAATCGCCGGAAGTTCGCTGGAACTTGCCGGTGTCCGATGTCGAAGTTGGACAATATTATTTGGGGCTTAAATTGTTTGGGGCTTTGGTGTGAGAAATATTATAATTTGATTAAAATTAAGGATGTTAGGCTGTTTGGGCCAAAGTTGGGCCTAAAGGGAATAAAAAAATAATTAGGTATGGGCCCATGTCTATTTTATTTAAAAGAGAAGAATAGAGAGATTGAGATAACGCCTGCCAGCCGCCGCCAGCCATCTTCCTCTTCTTCCTTGAAAGTTTTCTTCTCTAAAACTCTTTCTTTTTGTCTCTTCTCGTAAGTGGGATTAGTCTTAGGTAAATGATATGTTCTAATCCCTAGACCTTTCTCTTTTCAAAATTATTTTCAAATGGGTTTGAAAACTCTAGTTTTGCGAAGATTATTATAATATTTTAAGTTGAAAATCGTAGAATTTGTGAAATGGGTTTGAAACTCTAATTTTGCCCTAACCTAGTTATGGTTTTTGGGAAAAGATTTATGATTATGTTTAAATATTATGATTTCTGAAGTTAGATTATGCTTATTGGGATTGACATATTATTCAAATGTTTATTTGATAAAATAAAGTAAGATTATAACAAACTTATTGGGTTTTAATATTCTACTTTTTGCTTGTTAAATGTTGGCAATTGGAACGGTTTGAGTTTAAACCTCTCTTTAAAATTTGTTTTATAGCATGTTTAGTATTGAGTCAAATTGGTAATTGAAACTACCCGTCGAGTCCGATCAACTCGTCGATTGTTTAGGATGATGAGGCATAGCCTTCCACCTTTGTTCCTTACGGACACGTGAGGATACCGGTATTTTAGGATAACTAACCTCGAACTAGAACCCGAATGGGCTAGGCCGAGGGATCGAGATGGCGGGTTCTCAAAAACCCCTTTTGGGGATTCCGAGGTGCCCGTCATTCACGATTAAAAGGTCTAGACCGTCATCCGTGATGAAATGATTAATTGCGTACAATCCCTTTTTGGTATGTTATATTGGAGACTAGAAGGTTGTGAGCCGTTTGGCACGCCTCGCAAACTAATAAAAAAATTGACTTATGTGTACATATAGACTTCGAACCCTTATGTACCTGTTGCAGAGCTTTTCTTTAGGGTTGTGACCTTATGTTTGTTATGTGTAATTATGTGACACGTCATACGAAGTAATAAGGTTGGAAAACCGGATCGAGCCGGCCCTAATTATCACAATTACTTGAGAATAAAAGGGAGACATAAGAGAAGAGCTAAAAGACTTGTGTGTCAGTTATCTCTATGTGATATGTGACATTTTATTCAAATTATCTACTTCAAATTATTTTGTGGCATTTACACGTGAATCATGACTTATACCGTATTAATTTATCTTCGATTAATTACGCTTACTCAACCGTCGTATTGACCCTCTTTCTACAAATCTTTTTATAGGTGATGGTGCTTCCGTTATACCTAAATGATGCATTCATGCCATATGATCATCCAGGAGAACTAGAACTACTTTATCTTGTAGAATGCTTTTGAATTTCATTTTTACTATTTAAAGACTAAAGTCTTTTGAACTATTTCCAACTTATGTTTTTTTACTCGAACTTTACTTATTGAAATGGTAAGCCTTTAATTGTAAATCTCTAATTAGTTGTTTGTATTGGTTATTTTAGCCTTAGCGCCACAACGTATGGCTCATTGGTTGATGAATAGGTCTTCCGATGTGGCTTGACAGTGACACTCCGGTTTGAGCCGACCCGAGTGTTACACAATATCTATGCCTTTCCTCCTAATTTAAATATAATTATATTTCCTTTCCCAAAAAAAAAAAAAATCACATAAAATGGTTCCATTCAAAGTATTGTTAGGCCAGCATTTGTACTAGAGGAAAACTATTAAAACTTCCGTTTCTTCTTTCATTAAAGATGCCTGTTTTTCATATAAAGCTGGACCCCAATCAACCTGAAGAGTAAACTAAACCACTAAGGGTGTGTTTGTTTGTGGGTTTTAGTTTTTTGGTTTGGATTTTTTTATAGTAAAAAGTTGAATTTGAATAGTTGTTTGGTGTGATATAAATAGAGGTTGATGAAATATTTTGAATGTAAAATAAATTTGTAGTATAATAAAAAAAGAAAAATAATTGTATGATTTGATATTTTTTTAGGGAAAAAAGAATCTGAATAGTAAAATCCTATAGTATAACCCACAAAAGAACGCAACCCAAGGGTCCCCAACTTACACAATATAAATCTATAGTTCTTGCATACATAAAGAGAATCTGATAGATCAGTGATGCAATACATCAGCTATCAAGAATAATACTTACCTCAAAATATGTCTCTCCACAAGCACAAGAAATTCTCACCGTCAATGGGCAAGGAGCACAAGCACCCCTACAAGAATCAATACAATCATCACAGGAATTGGCACATACTTTGGATACTTCCATTTATTAGCAATATCTGTTTTCCAATTTATGTGTTCTGCCTCTTTAGTTATTTTCAGAGATAGAATCCAAAACGCCACTTCAAATTCTTTTATTAGTGAAGACAAAATTATATAAATTACTCTGCAATCTCCAGAAAGCAAAGATATAACGAAAGTGATCTAAGCCAGTAGGAGATGGCTAGAGTTCTGTTCTTGATCTGAATGAATCATAGAAAGAAAATTTTAACATGTGAAAGACTACTAACATCAGCTTGTTGTTCCAACTTCCAAGAATATTATATGTTGTAGTGATCATATGAACCCTTTTTCTAACATCGGATTGCTCATTCTGTCATAATCTTCTACAGAAGTAATTATATTCTGAATGAAGCCTCCAATTCGAGAATAAGGTCCGATCTATCCTATATGTCTGTCTTCTAATACCTTTGGTCAACATAATTGTTCATTCACCCAGAAAACTCTCACCGACACGTTGAACAAAGCAAATTATAGAAGAACCTGTGGCATGGAGCAGGACACTTGTGGTTCCTACATGGAAGCCTCCGATCACAAATCTGCATCCAAAAAGTCATACCACAATTGAGTATAGTCTTCATTTCACAATCCGCCTAGCTTTAGCACATTAGCAAACCAACCTCAGAGCAAGGCGGGCAATCCCCATCGCAGCAGCGACGCTTACAAGCATGCCGTCCACAATCTCTAACTTTCTGGCACTTCCTATCACATGCCAACTCTTGATAGCAAGGAACCTATTCTAAATTCAATCAGCCATTCCCCACATCACAATTCATTCGAAACAAAAAAAAAAAAAAAAAAAAAAAAAAAACTCAAAATAACAACTTCACCTGCTTCTTCAAGCTCCCACACCTGCACGACTTTGTCACCACAGTTCTACAGGTCTCGATACACGGCCCACGGTGGCACCTCTCCGGACACCTGTGGTACCCACAGCTCAACAGTTTATCGCAAGTCGCACCGCATAACGGCACCGACACATCACAGGCCACTCCATCATACAGTTTCTTACCACAAGGGCATGCCCTCTTCCCTTGAAGTGGGCAACTCCCACACTCACCCTCATGGCATCCCCTAGCGCAAGTATGTCTTCCACAATCGAGCATCTTATTGCAAGCATTCTCACACCTAAAAACTCTATCACAACACTCTCTTTCAATCTCCACCTTCCTACATTGACATCTGTAAACCCCTTTCTTCCTACACGGCGGGCATAATCCATCATGGCAAATATCGCTACACCTGTGAGTTCCGCACTCCAACGGCTTCTTACAGACCTCGTTACAGGAGAAATCCTTGAATCCGCACCGCCGGACATCCTCCAATTTCCCGCAGAAGCACCTGGTCCGGACTAATTTGGGGCAGGCTGGGCAGGGGCCTGGATGGCACAACAGCAGGCAGAAATGTCCACAGTTGTGCTGCAATGAGCGACCGCAGATTTCCCCGCAGGAGTGGGGCAGAATCCATGGATCACGGGGCGGATCCTGAACTTTGCCGCAGAAGCAATAGTAGTACTTTGGGGTTTGGGATTTGGGGTAGTCGACGCGGCACTTAGGGCAGGGCCAGACGAGGGAATTGTCGTCGGGGACGACGGGTGCGCGCGCAGAGGCTCGAGAGGCGGCGAGAGTGGTGGACTGGTGAGCCCAGGATTGGATGCAGATGAGGTGGAAGATGGCGAAGCAGCGGGAAGAACAGGACCAGGTGGGATCGGTTGGCTTGATGCGTTCGAGGCAGATGAGGCAGGAGAGAGCGCCGGATCGGGAAGAGGTGAGGAATGATTGGATCTTTATGAGATCCTGATGTTGATCTGTGGAATTGGAGAGGTAGGATTCGAAAATGGAGGAGGAGAGATCGGCGTGGCGGTGGTGGGAGGAGGAATTGGTGTCGGAGTCGGAATTGGAATCGGAATCGGAGGACAGCTGGGCGGCGGAGGTCGCCGGCGGAAGCGGAGGCATTTTGATGGGTTATCGGACCGGAGTGAATCGGTGGAAAAGCTCAGCGGCTTATTCGGCTAGTTAAATGTCATTCATATGTTGGAATCATTAATTAAATTAGAAAATTGGTTTGAAAATTTTGGATTTATATTTGTTTTTAAGAAATTCTAAACACCTTTTTACAAAAAAAAAAAAAAAAAAAACATAATACTCCACTCCGTCTCAAAAATAGTTTATATTAAAAATATTTTAAAAATATTAAAATATCTTTAATAGTTTTGTAAAAAGATCAAAAAGTTAATTACAAAAATAAAAATTAGACTATTGTTTAGTACGGATAAAAAATGAAAAATAAAATTATTATTTTAGAACAGTAAGTAATATATTACAAATATTCCTTATTTTTTCATATTATTTAAATGGTGGCGGCTATACGGTTGAATTTTAAATTTTGGGTTAAACAGTCCTTGGTGTATTGTTTGATAGCACGTGGTATTACTACATACACCGCATTATGTATGTTAATATAAAACAAATATATCACATGAACAAAGAACATATGTTACAGTCTTAATACCACATCGTATACTGTCTAACAATATACAGTATTATCACAGACAACAATTTTAGCACATGGTATACTCTTATACATAAGGATGAAAATAGGCTAGACTGTCTTCAGGGCCTAAACCTGGCATGCATCTATTTATTTAGGGTGTGTTTGTTTGGGAGATTGGATTATAAATCCACTGTTCATCTCATTTTTTTTCTTTTAAAAATATCAAATCAAACATCTATTTTTTATTTTATATTATACTAAAAATCAATTTTACATTCAAAACATCACATCAACACCTATTTATATCACATCATACAACTATTCAAATTCAAAATTTTTACTATTCAAATCTCAACACAAAATCCAAACCCCCAAACAAACACAACCTAAAAAGATCAGGTCCAGATTTTTATTAAAGCCTTTTTATTTAAATAGAGTGGGCTTAGGCTTACCACAAAAAGTCTTTTTATCAAACAGGCCAACAAAAATAAAAACAATTTTTATCCTAATTTCAAATTTCAAACTATGAACGTTGTTGCACACATATTCCTTCCCCACAATTTATTTGTTTTATTTACCCTAATTCAAATATTCCCAATTTTCCACTGCGTCATTTCTGCACATATTTCCTTTTTGTTGCTTCCACAACCTCCGCGTCTTTTTCCTTCTTTTTTTCTTCCGTCTTCATCGTTTCTTCTTCTTTATTACTACTAGTTGTGGAATTTGAAAAAATAAGTAAGGTAAAAAAAGTTTAAATACTCCATCCGTTCCGGTGCAAGGTTGTCGTTTAAGTTTCGCACGTAGATTTTTAAATATTAGTTATATAATGGGTTGTAGTAAAAAGGACGAAAATGTCCCTATTAGTATTGTGTAATACTCCCCCCCGTCCCACATAATTTGTCCCTATTTTCTATTTTCGTCCGTCCCACATAGTTTGTTATTTTCTTTTTTGGAAAATTAATTATACACTTTAATTATATTTTTAAATTTAAAATTTAATTTTTTAAATCTTAATTAAACTATTTAATTATCTTAATCTTAATTTATAATTTTTTTGACTAAATAATAATTATTTTTACTAATACATTTCTTAATTACTTACTAATTATACTTTACATAAATTCCCGTGTCTACAGTAATACACTCATATTACATGGGATATTACTCTGGGACAGAGGGAGTATAAAAGTAATACATTTGTGTAATATAGTTTAAGTTGAAAATGTATTTATTATGTTAGGTACGTAGTACAATTACTAAATTAGGAAATGATAACCTTGTTTTGGGACGGACGAAAATGAAAAATGACAACCTTTTAATGGGACGGAGGGAGTATATTTTTGGTTTTTTTGTTCTTTTCGTTGTTCTTATTTGGATATAATTCTAAAAAAAATTTTGTTATATTTTATTTATTTTATAATTTTGTTTTTCTTTATGCGTTATTTTTTTTCTTTTTAACATTTATTTTGGTTTTTTTTATAATGTTATTTTTATATATTTTTGTTATTTTTATTTATTATGTTATATTTTATTTAAATGGCTTGTGAATAAATTTTCTATATTTTTAGAAAAATAATGAACTGTTAGTGTAAATAAAATACTGAAAGTTATTGAACAAATTACGATATTTTTGTTTATAATGTATCTCATTAATTAAATGTATTTTTTTTTTTTTGAAACAGAATGACTTCGAATGATGAAATAAATATTTTTGGCCCTCCATCTGTGAATGATATGGATTCAATTTCAAGCCAACCGGTAGATGATAACAGAAATGAAAATAAAAGAAATTCAAATCAAATAAATGAAGGTGCCAATAAGAGAAAAAGGAAAAAAAAAAACTTCAATTGTATGGAATGATTTTGATAAAATTGAAGTTGCTGGAGGTGCAAAAAAAGCTATTTGCAGGTACTGTAAAAATGCATTTGCTACCGGGGGAAGAGGTGCGAGCACAAGCCATCTAAAGAGACATTCGGAAGGGTGTTTGCAAAGGTCATTACATATAGCTTCACAAAAGAAACAAGTTATCATTCCTTTTAAGCCATCAAATACAGCTAATCCGTTTGTAAGTCTCTAACTTTAGATTTTCTAATGAAAAGATGAGAGAAGTCATTGCCACGTCTATTACGGTTCATGAGCATCCTTTTAGCATTGTAGAAGACGATGCTTTTATATGGTCCTTTCAGTATGCAAACCCTGAATTTCAAAAAGTTTCTCGTAAAACGATACGGAGTGATTGCATAGCAATATATAAAGCAGAAAAAAAAAGGGGGTTGAAAGAATTATTAAAGAGTGTGAGTAAGATTAGTTTGACAACAGATATGCGGAAATTCATTCATCAAGTAATTGAGTACATGGTAATCACTGGTCATTTCATAGATTCTTGGTGGAAACTTCATAAAAGGATTTTAAGCTTTGTCAAGGTGCCTGCTCCAAGGAGAGGAATTGATGTAGCCAATGTTATTTTCAAATGTTTGAAGGTTTGGGGGTCGAAGCTAAAGTCCTCTCAGTATCAGTTGACAATGCTTTATATAACGACTTGTGCTTAAGATATCTAAAAGATTACATATCACGTAGCACTAAGCTTGTCCTCGATGGAGCTCTATTTCATGTTAGATGTTACGCACACATATTGAATCTTTTAGTGCAAAATGGGCTCAGTCAAATTAAATATGTCATTCACAATGTTCGTGAAAGTGTGAAGTATGTTAACTTCAATGACTCAAGATTGAAGACTTTTGGTGAAGTAGTTGAACAAAAACTTCTAAAAGAAAGAAAGTTGATAATTGGTTGTCCCACAAGGTGGAATTCTACATATCACATGTTAGTTGCTGCTTTAAAATTCAAGATTGTCTTCTCAAAATACCAAGAAAGAGAACCTCATTATACATTTGCACCTTCAAATAAAGATTGTGAGAAAGTTTGTAAACTTTTGAAAGTGTTCAACCTAGCTACCAATGTAATCTCTGGAAGTGAATATCCTACTGCTAATTTTGTATCTTTCAGAGGTTTGGAAGGTGAAGCAAGTAATTGATAATGCGGCAAAGGATGGTGATTTTTTTATGATACAAATGGCAATTCAAATGAAAGAAAAGTTTGATAAATATTGGGGTGAGTGCAATATGTTAATGGCCGTTGCAAAGGTATTGGATCCAAGGGTTAAATTTCATGGTATTGAAATATGTTTTCCAATGATATACAAGTGTGAAGAAATTGTTGCCGAGTGTGTGAACAAAGTGCGTGCTTCACTATAACATCTATATAATGATTATGTAGCCTTAAGTGTTGAAGAGTTATCCTCAAATGAGTGCAGTATGGCTAGCAACATCTCTTCTGCCACCATCCAATCTGAATCTGGAATAGTTACTGGTTTTGACCAAATTATAAGCCTTGTAAGAGCAAAAGAAGCAATTCATGTATCAAAATCTGAATTAGATGTATATTTAGAGGACAATGTTTATATTTCTGATGGAAATATATTTTCATTTGGTGCCTTGGAGTGGTGGAGGAACAACAACATGAAATATAAAGTTTTTTGGAAGATGACTGCTGACATACTTGCGATTCCAATATAAATGGTAGCTTCAGAGTCTACATTTAGTGCTGGAGGTAGAATTATAGATGAATATCGTTCAAGATTGAATGAAGAATCTATCAAGGCACTCATTTGTGGAGGAGATTGGCTTCGACATAAATACAACTTGAAAAAAAAAAGGTTAATTTTATTATTAAGTATCTTTTCTTTATTTTATTCATTACATTATATTTTTCTAATAAAAATATTTCTCTCATTTGAAGGTAATTAGGTAAATGAGTCTTTTAAGGAGATAAGCTTATAAATTTAAAGACGTTTTTTAATACTTTGATTACGGTACATTTTAAATTTATAATATTTTTTGAATTTTTTTATATTGATTTATTATTTGAAAACATGATTTTTTTTAATAAGATATTCTTGTTGCAAGATGTATATTTGGAGGGTTCCTGCTTTGCTTTTTTTTTCTTGAGTCTTTTATTGCATTGGTAAGTAATATAATTTTTTTTTCTTGTTTTAACATAATTTCTTGATGCTTCACGTAATTTTTATATAGAGGGAAGAAATTTGGGATATAATACTAATTTGATGAGTTTTTGTAAAGAGCTTTAGTGGTTCCAAAAACTTTGGGCGAATTCGTAATTCTTGTGCGTGGTGTAAACATGAAGAGCTATGTTATTAATTTCTAAATATTTTGTGAAAATTTTCAATATTGCTTTTAAGTTAACTGTTGTATGTCTTCTTTGTGAAAACTAATCAACTCAATGACAATAGATTGATGTAAAATATATATATTTTTTAATGTTATTATGCAATGATCTCTATTAGCTTTCATTTGGTGTATGTAGACTTGCAATTCTAAATAATTATTTTATTTTTTTTTTACTTTTATGAATTGTAATATATATATTTTTGCAAACTATTACTATTATATATTGTACTTTATAGGACAAACTAAAATTATTAGTTTTGTCATTGAAAAAACATAATTTAA